TGTCTTGTATTTCTGAGTTCTGTTTCTATTCGTAGTCTCCCAGCTTTCACTTCACCCGATCCTGGCCTCTTGCAGGGTTTCCCACATCCTTACAGACTCGGGAGCAGGCTTGCCACTTCATCACCATGTGTATCTTCACCTGCACTGGCCAGCATTCTTCCGTTCACCTGGGCCAGGTATGAACCATAGGGGAGCTGCTGAGAATTTGAGGCCTGGAGTAGGGGAAGAGGCTCTGTAAAGGCCTTTTCATGCTTGATAGACTTTGACTCTAGACCATGAACCCCTCCTTAGCTGGACTGGTACACTTGGGTTCCCAACACACCCTGCACAATGAGGCTGCCCCCACCCACCACCAAGGATGCGACGCTGGAGACCGTCATGGCAACGCTGCCCAACTTCCACCAGGCTTCTCTTCAGATGTCCATGACTTGGCAAATGGGCAGACGTCAGCCCGTGATGGTGAGAGTCAGGTGTCTGGGCCTCTGGGCAGAGGTGCACTGTGGGCACCCCAAACTGGGGTGTGGGCACCCCAAACTGGGAGGTATCGGTCTCTCGGCTGACGTTTCCTCTCCTTGACAGGTGGCTCTGGGCCAGCACAAGGAGGAGTATTTCTCAAGTGCCGAGCCCAAGGCTGTGCTGAAGAAGCTCAGGGAGGAGCTGGCTGTGCTGGATAAGGAAATCGAGATCCGGAATGCAAAGCTGGAAATGCCCTATGAGTACCTGAAGCCCAGTCTGATGGAAAACAGTGTGGCCATCTGAGCCACAAATAGACCCCTTAGCAGTTTGAGTCTGACCCCCTAGACCTTGCCACTCTTCCCACTCCCACTTTCCCTAAAGAGTGACTTTGTAATTTGCCCCTCATGGAATATTTGTTACCCTAGATGCACCACCCAGGGACCTCTGTCCCCCTTCCTTGTTTCCCCTCTGACCACTGTCCTCCCTCGTTATTCAGATCTTCCACCTGGCACATAATAAAAATGGCCCCCAAACCAAATCGGCTGCCAACGAGTTGTTTTTGACTGTGCTCCCTCGGGCTTCAAGATTGTGACCCTTTGAAACACTCACCTGATCTTTCATCTGAGGTGTGCCTGGGTGGATTTGAACTGCTAATGTCTCATTTAATAACCTCAAACCCAAACTCACTGCCATCAATCCATGCCAACTCACAGCGCCCCTCTAAGACAAGGTAGAATCACCTCTGTGAGTTTCTGAGACTGTAACTCTTTACAGGAGTAAAAATCCGCATCTGTCTCCTGGGGAGCGGCTGGTGGTTTTGAACTGCTGACCTAGTGGTTCGCAGTCCAATTTGTAACCATGATGACACCAGGGCCCCTTTTCAGTTAATCGAAAAATCTAACTCTGTGGTGTACCTAGGGACTCTTGTTTTGAGAACAGAAGAATGTGATAATACATGTCATTCTATACTTTTTATGAACCAAATATTATTTTGAACCTAAATGAAGTTTCCCAACAACAAAAAGATATTCCA